GCAGCAGCACAGAGCTGGAGTGTCCTGTACTTGTCCTTGGTTAGCTGCCCTCAGGAGGTTGATTGTCTTAGCTCATTTCAGTAAACTAACGCTCACCAAAGAGTCAAGTGACAGAAAGATTAGTGCAAACGAACAACAGATTTAACAGAATCCAGCAATGAAGCATCCAAGAACGAAGAGAAAATGTAGAAGGGAGGCTCCTGCTCTTTAGTACATAGTCTTTAGCATGAGGAAATGCTTGGTGAATGATTTGGAATAGAAGCAAATGTTACAAAGTGGGCATTATGAAAAAGATTGTGCTAGCTGAGTAGGGTGGTACATACCTATAATCCCAGCACTTGGGAGGCTGAGGCAGGAGGATTGCCACAATTTGGAGGCCAGCCTGGGCTATACAGGAAGTTCAAGGCCAGCCTGAACTACATAGCGAGACCTTGTCTCAAAAACAAAAACAAAAAGCATACGAATGTACCAATAAATTCAATTAAAAGAAAAGATGGAAAAAAAAGAAATCTATGAATTTACCAAAGCTTTTAATAGCTGTATTATATTTCATAAGTTGGATATTCTGCAACTTATCTACACTTTAATTATCTAGAACGCTTTAGGTTATTTCTATCCTGGTCAAGAAATTTTTTCATGACTTTATTTTTTTCTTTTTCAGGGTTACCCTTGCTTTCATTGGGATCAGTCTGCTGGTTATAGGGACGACCTTGGTTGGGCAGCTGCCAGACAGCAGGTGAAATGGCTCTCTCTGTCCACCCATAAGTAGGACGTCCTTTTTCCTAGCAGAGAGAATATTTATTTGGTTTTTACATTTGCCTTCATTCCTACGTATTGCATTAAATCTCTCTTTCATAAAGGAGTATTTTCTAGATACCATATTAAATGTATGGCCTTAACCCACTTATTAAAATTGTTGACTTCACTTTCATAGTCTTTGCTTTTCCATCATACTTTCATAAAAATCGCAAGAAGTATTTTCAAAAGAGAAATGAAGAGGGGGGATAAAGAAAGGATAAATGGACGCAGGAATCCAAAGAAAAGAAATAGCCTTATGTATCGGCAGGCTCAGTAGGCTGAGGTCGCGAGCTCAGGTTGGTCAGGATGTGCCGTGAAGTAGCAGCAGAGGGGGCCGCTTCCCTGAGGCCCGTCCAGTGCCCTTGGCGAGTGTTTGCCATGTAATACCTCGCGAGTTGGGGAGACCAGGAATCGAGCTGTGCTTGCTCAGTAGAACACAACACAGGATGCTGTTTGTGACTGAGCACACCGGGCTTCGATTGTACTGTCTCACAGGCAGGGCCAGAGCTGCACAGTAAAGCGGGTTCTTTCTCTGGCAGCCTCAAGAGCTGGCTGAGCGAAGTGGTGCACCTGACTTGCTGTCGGATCTGCGTGCGGTCCCTCTCGGGCACCATTCATTACCATAACAAGTGAGTGCCTGGGGCCCTGCCTGCCCTGCTTTCCTCTTTCTGGGGGAACCCTTTGACTCAGAGTCTTGAGGTGATCTCAGTACTTCCCCTGTTTTTATCCTTACTTTTAAAAATATATTACCAGGCTTGGTGGCCCAGGCCTGTAATCCCAGCACTCCCGAGGCTGAGGCCGGAGCATCATTGTAAATTCAGCCTGGTCTCCACAGTGAGTTCCAGGTCAGTCTCAACTGCATAGTGAGACCCTGTCTCAAAAAAAAAAAAAAAAAAAGTCAAACTTTGCACTACTTGAAAAGCAAAGTTGAAAAAAAACTGCCTGGTGTCTGCAACTTTGGTGGACAGTTGAACTGGTAATCTGATCTGAAAATACCTGTGAGTCATGCGTGGCCTCTTGTGGATACAAAGGTGTGACCTTCCGGCTAAGGGCCACTCTCCCCTGACAACGCACATGCCTGAGTTAATGTGTTAACCTGTCCTCATTGTGCTGCTTTTTTTTTCTCCCGTGTGAGATGCCATAACTGTAGCACCAAAGAAAGTTAGTGATACCAGCAGTAAAGCTAAGAGGAAAACTGAAAACCGTGAAATCAATTTGTTAAAGTCCTAGAAAAATGGATTTGTAAGTGTAATTTTGAGCCTCGGAACCAACTATTTGGTTTTCCATGATTTCTTAGGGGAAGAACACATTCCGTTCTTTGACTTTTCTGTGTTCAGACACAGGTTTGGAATGGAATGAATTGAACTGGAGCACTGAGGTGTCGCTGCCCTGCTTTTGGGTATTTTGAGATAGAGTTTGGTGATGTCTCTTTGTCAGCCTGCACTGACAGTTGCCTGGCAGTTGTGTGGGGTCACCCAGTGAGTGGGTGCAAAATCAGGTTTGCAGCTGCCTGATTTGAAAAGGAAGTTCGGGACCCTGCACTGTGGAGAGTCTGGGGTCAGCTTTCTGATTTTACCCTTGCCACTTCTAAGATTCCAAAACAGATCGGTAGAGTGCTACATTCTACTTTTCTCACCCTGGAATAGAAAGAATACAGGTAGTTAAGGAAAGACTCTATTAGCTGTGAAACTGATTTTAGTTTCTTTTGGTTGACTTTTGTTTTGTTTAGTTTTTGATTTTTTTGAGACAGGGTCTCTCTCAGGCTGGCCTTGGGCTTGCTGTAATCCTCCTGTGTCAGCTTCCCCAGTGCTGGGATTATAGTTGTGTACCACTGGACCCGGCGTGACTTACTTTTCTGTTGATTCAATTTTATGTTATTTTAAAAAATACCATTGTTTAAAAAGTTCTAGGAAGCCAAGCATGATGACACATGCCTGTAATTTCAGTACTTGGGAGGCTGAGGCAGGAAGATCACCATGAGTTCGAGGCCATGTGGGGCTACACAGTGAGTTCAAGGTCAGCCTGCACTACATAGTGAGACCCTGTCTCAAAAAAAGCAAAGAGTATGGGGGGAAAAAAAAAGAGAACCAAGACCTGTCATGTATAGGTCCAAGAGCCCAATGATGAATGTAACTGTACTGTATACCTAAAATGTGCCAATAAACTCAATGAGAAAAACAAAACAAAACAAAAAGCAAAACAAGAAAAAAGTTCTAGAAAAAATAGCTCTTTTTTTGCTGGTCTTTCTGTCTCATTTGTAGACGGGAAATCATTTGGCTTCATCATGTGTTAACAACATAAAAAGACCCTTAAAAATTTTAAGTCATGGTTTTGCTGTTGGACTGAGTCCTAAGGTGCAGTAGAAGGAGATCTGGCAGTGTGTGGAGAAAGCACTTTGTGGGGATGGAGGAGTTCATAACCTACTGGGGAAGTGCTTCTGGCTTCACGGAGAATATGGCCAGGCTGTCACAGACTTGGCCCGCTTCGCTGTGTGGGCCCAAACAAAGCTGTTTTGCTTTATTGGTGTCAGGTTCTGGTTTAGCTCAGGGCAGAGATGGGCAAACTATTCTACTGTCCCGGGGCTCTTGACCAAGGTTTTGTTTTGTCACTGTTCCTGATCACAGGCAGTACCGGCCCCGGAAAGGGGGCATATGCGTCGCCAACCACACGTCCCCGATCGATGTTTTGATCTTGACCACGGATGGATGCTACGCAATGGTAAGAATGGCTCATCAGTAGTTTGAGCAATTATGTGTTTTATGAATTGCTCACATTTTAACGTATTTTAACTACTCAGAAAGTTTTATTTAGAAATTTACGTTATACTGTTGTAGCCATGTGAGTTATGTAATATTTGTACACGAGAAGCAAGTAGGGAAAGGAAAAAAAGAACAGAAAATTGCCATTATATTTAAGGCAGTGAAAAATTAATTTACGGAGATGTAGACACACTGGAATTGATGGTGCTTTGTAAAGTTGAATCCAATTTTGCTTTTAAAATCCCTGCTGATATTTAATTACATGTTGCAAGATTAGAGCCTTTTCTCCTTAGAAGTGACCCAGATCCGCTACCCCGCCGAGTATTCTCTCGTCCTTTGGGGAGAAAGATACAGTGAAAAAAATCAGGCTCTTTATGAGGCTTTGGCACGAAAGGCAGATACTGATGCCGCAGTAACAGCCTCAGAAGTGAAGAAAAGCGAACAAAACCAACAAACCCTAAAGCCTACAGTAAAAGCAAACCTCCCAAGCAGGGACCGCGTTCTGGCCTTTTTCAAGTTTGTGCTTTTTATCGCTCTGACATATTTGTTTGTTGGTACCGGGGATCGAACTCAGGACCTTGTGCTTGTGAGGCAGGCGATGGAAGCACTGAGCTAAATCCCTGGCCCTCACTCTGACAAACCTGTCAAGCTTTCCCTCGTCTCCTGTAAGCGCCGGGTGAATTCTGGACAATAACGGACAGTGTCCTTTCCTGCACAGTGGCTCTGTGTCCCACTTGGGTCCGAGGGTGAAGGGTTGGGCAGGGTCCTGGGGGTCTTCTCCTTTTCTCATGTTGGTGGGCTTCGGGGACAACACATGAGTTTTATTTCCCCGGAACTCTGCAGTATTGGCAGTCTGCTCTGATGACCTTTATTTTTAAAATTTAGAAATGTTTTCAAGCTGTAATAAGGACAGTATTTCTTGGGAGATCCATACCCCATTTTGCGCACTCACCTGTTAGTAATGTGTTGCCTCATCCCCCCCACTTAAGTTTATTGGTACATTTAAAGCAAAACAATAGTTGCATTTATCACTGGGATCTTGTCCCTCTACAGGATATGCCTTGGTTCTTGTTTTTTCCCCATACCCCTGCCCTCCCTTCACTCTTCCCTGTTTATCGCCTCATTTTCTTTATGGCTTGTGTTCTCTTTCTTTCTCTCTGCATGCAACTGTGTGTAAAGTGTTTGTATTATTCATATATGTATGTTTAATGTTTATATTGGAGATCTGAATTATACCAACATATCCAGTTAGTAGGGCACTTTCTTTGTTTCCCTGAATCAGTGTGTATCTTATTTTTTTTTCACAATGAAAAGCCCATTTCCCAATGATACCAATGTGCTCATTTTCTTTCTTTCTTTTTTTTTTTTCTTTTTGTACCGGAGATCAAACTTGGGCTCTTGTGCTTGTGAGGCAGGCGGCAGAACCACTGAGCCAAATCCCTGGCCTCAATATACTCATTTTCTCAATCTTGTAATACATCTACATTGTTTCAGGGGCAGGGGATTTAGCTCAGTGCTTCCAGCGCCTGCCTCGCAAGTACAAGGACCTGAGTTTGATCCGTGGTACCAAAAACAAAACAAAAATAAATTGTTTCAGAGTTGCTTTGCCTGTAATATTTAAAAATCAAAAGGAAGTCAGACAAGGTGGTGCACACCTATAATCTCAGCAGCCTGGAGGCTGAAGCAGGAGGATTATAAGTTTAAGCCTCATGTGGGCAACTTAGTGACTAATGAGATTGTCTTAAAATGAAAAATAGAAAGGGGATGGGATGTAGCTTAGTACAAAGCCCTAAAACAAACAAACACCCAAGTTCAGTGTTCTGTAGTTTTTGCTGTCCTATCCAAGATGGTGTGTGGTCATACGCAGTGCTTGTAAGTTTCTTGGATTTTCCCCTCTTTCTTCAACTTGCTCTTATGTTCATTTGAGACACAGTTGGGTTCATTTCTGCTCACTTTTAGTTTATTGCCATCCTTGTGGTTTTAACTTTTTGAATATGTAAATGATTCACTTGCTTCCAAATCAAAAAAAGTATATTCATTGAAAAGCCGCTCCCCTGTCCAGTCTACCCTGTTCCTTTTTGTTCTTGTAGGTTCCCAACTTCAGAGGTTGGGATTATCCTTTCCATATTTCTTTTCATAGAAATAAGCAAATGCACATGTGTTACTTCCCCTTTAGTCTTACCTCCGAGGTAACATCCTTATTTGTTTTTTGGCCTTTTTTACCTACCCTCTTGTGTGAGTCACTCTTTCTCAGCCCCAGAGGCAAATCTTGCTGTATAACATTACATTGTAGTGTGTACCTTATCCGCCCACTTCCCTGATTTGTCCATTTACATAGTCTCTAATATTTTACAGTGATAAGTAGAGCTGTTATTAATCTTGTGGGTGTGTGTGTGTGTATATTTCATGTACTTTGCCGAAGGTTTATCTTCAGGGTAGATCCTCAGAAGGGAGATTGTTGAAACGAGGGACAGATGCACTTGTGGCCTTGATAGATGTTTCCCCTTTCCTTTCACTGGTATTACGAACCTCTCCTTTTCCCCAAGTGGTGTGTGAAAGGGCCTGTCTCTGGCAGCCTTGAATCTGGGTGTATTGTCAAGCCGATAAATAGCTGTGAATGTGATGGGTTGGAAATGGCACTTCAGTATAGTGTTTTTTTTTGTTTTTGTTTTTAAGACAGGGTCTCATTATGTAGTTGAGACTGACCCGGAACTCACTGTGTAGCCCAGGCTGGTCTCAAACTCACCGTGATCCTCCTGCCTCAGCCTCCCAAGTGCTGGGATTACAGGCGTGCGCCACACCGCCCAGCTATTACTCTTTTTTTAAACACCGTGATCCCTGCCTCAGCCTCCCAAGTGCTGGGATTACAGGCGTGCGCCACCACGCCCAGCTATTACTCTTTTTTTAAACTGTTACTTTTTTAAAAAGGCCTTTCTAGATTGCTGTGTCTTTGCATTTTTCTCTTTTTCTCCTGGTTCTTCTAGGTTGGCCAGGTTCATGGCGGACTGATGGGGATTATTCAGAGAGCCATGGTCAAGGCGTGTCCTCACGTCTGGTTTGAGCGCTCAGAAATGAAGGATCGGCACCTGGTTACAAAGAGGTAGGACTGAGATTACCAGCTATTCATTGAGCTAGCGTGGAAGCTGATACATCTGGGCCTCTGGCCAGAGTGGGCAGGGCCCTGCTACATAGTAAAACTGGAGCATACGGAGCTCTAGTTGTAGTTAGATTTTTTTTTTTCTGATGAGTCACTCAGCAAGATTTTAAAGAGTTCTGTACTCACGTCGGGATACTCGAGGAGATTAGAAGGCATATAGGTCTGCTTTGCTGTGGTTTAGGTGTAGTTCAGCAGTGGACTCTCAAAGTTGTATGTTGGAGGCTGAATAATTGATAACTCTTTTGCTGAACAAATAGATGTTTGATTAAGTTCCGCTGAATCATCACTGACATTGAAGTCCAGCTGTAGCTAGAGCTCATGATTTTGTGTCAGTCAGCTCTCTGTCACTGTGACAAAATACTGGAGACGATCCGCTTAATAAAGAAGGGGCTTCCCCTCCTGGCTCCTGGTTTCAAAGGTCTCAGTCCACGTCTAGTGCAGTTCAGGAGGTTGCTTGGCACAGTGCATGATGGCGGGAAGCCCGTTCACTTTGTGGGAGCCAGGAAGCAGGAGAGCAGGGGACCCAGGCTTTCAATAAGACTCTCAAGAGCCACCTCCAGTGGCTGAACTTCCTTCCAGTCGGCCCCACACCTCCTGAGGTTCTACTGTGTCTCAGGAGTGCTGTCATCGGCTAGCAGCAAGCCTCTGACGCCTGGCCTGTGGGGAACCCACACCTGCGCTACAGCAGATTTCTATGGTCAGGGAGGAGGAGGAACATCAAGGGCTTCGGAGGAGGCGAGCTCCTCTTCAAGGAACTTTTTCCTCGAGAAAAAGAGAGAAAACCGCCTTTTCCTTGAGACCTTTAACTGGAGGCACTCTGGTCATTGCTTCTGTAAATACATGGTGGCCCAGGCTATTTTATTTATTTACTTGTTTTATTTTTTATTTTTGCATAGTGGGAAATGAACTCAGGGCCTTTGGACTGAGCTACATTCCTAGCTTTTTTTAAATTTTGAGACAGGGTCTCACTAAGGGGCTCAGACTCGAGATCCTCTTGCCTCAGCTCCCAGAAAAGCACTTGTTGAAATCTGCTTCAGGTTGCTGTCTGTTCTCTCTCTTGAGATCACTTAGAAGTGGGTACTCTGGCAGCTGCCATCTCTTACTTTAGCAACTTCCGACAAACAGTGAGTTGCAGTTGGGTCGAGCTGCAAAGAGCCCTCGTGTTATCAGGTAGCTTCCTTTGGAAAAGTCTTGCCAATTAAACATATTCCAAGTCCTTCTCACCTTGAATGAAGAATTGAATGAGATAAGCCAAGAACGTTGCCCGAAGTTTGTTTGGAAAGTGGAGGTGAGTGAGAGCCTGGCTCTGCAGAGCCAACTTGGGCCCAACAAGTGAGGAAAAGAGAAAAGCAATAAAAGTACACCCTAGGACTGTTAAGACACAGGACAGGCTACCGTGAAGGTTCTGATAGTATCTCCCTTGTGATGTCTGCCTGGTCTCTATGCTGTCCACATCTTGTGGGAACCCACAAGAAGTTCTACATACTGAGTCCTAAAGAGGTTGTGTTGTATAGATCCTGGGATCCCTCCACGCCTCTCTTCCCAGACAGTCTAAGCCACGCCTCATGTCCTATCTCACTGGCCCTGAAGAAAAGTTTCTTCCTGAGCCCTCTGGTGTGTTTCCTGGGCAGTTCATCCTTCGTCAGTTCAGTTTTGTGCTCACTGGCAAGATTGCAGACAGGTGCAACATTCAGTGCTCCGCTCCTCAGATGAGGAAGTACTGTACAGGCACGTGGCAAGCGACAGAAAGCTCATGTGTGTTGGGCCGGAGCTCAGGTCACTTGGGTGACTAGGACGCTTTGTAAGAAAAAGCTGAAGACACTGAAAGTCACTTTCAAATTAGAGCAATTGGAAGGGTGCAGATCTCATTTTTTTTTTTTGGTACCGGGGATCGAACTCGGGCCCTTGCGTTTGCGAGGCAGGTGGCTGAACCACTGAGCCAAATCCCCAGCCCCTGTCTTTCCTTTAAAGAAAAGGGACAACTTGAGTTTATTTTCCTCACTCAATCTCTCACTGCTTCGCTCCTTATTGCTTTGCAGTTATATTTGTGCTCGTTGAGTATAAGGAATATGAAAAGGGGCTCCAGTCTCTCTTTTGTTGGAAAAATATAATTTGGATGCATTTTTCTTCACAGACTAAAAGAACATATTGCCGATAAGAAAAAATTACCCATATTAATCTTCCCTGAAGGTAAGAATGGAGACTACTGCCCACCGTGAGGTAGCACAAACAGTGAATCATTGAAAGCGAGTGGAGCGGAGTGGCTGTGGACTGGCCTTCTTGGTCTAGGTCTCTCCTGTCCCGTAGGAATGGGACAGGGCAGTTGGAATCTGCTTTGAGCAATTCATTTCCTGTTCTCTCTTGAGATTTGATGGAAGTCAATGGTACCTTTTTTGTTGTTGTTGTTGGTACCAGAGATCGAACTCAGGATCTTCCAGTTGCGAGGCAACATGATACCTTTTTGATTTTAAGTCATTTTTGAGTGATGAATTTAGAAAGGTATTGTCTGTGGCTTTTTAAAGGTTGTGTTTTAAATATATTGGAATTGACATCTGTTTTGACAGAGTTGTTTCCATAGAGTGTAGTTTGTTATTAAACTTAGGATTATTGAATTGCTCCTTGAGCAAGAGATAATTTGTAAAACGGTAGTTCATTTTTCCATTTTACATAAAAGTTATTTCTGTTCTTTGGGATCAAACTCGGGGCCTTGCCCTTGCGAGGCAGGCGCTGGAACCACTGAGCTAAATCCCCTCCTTCTGTCCCCCTTCAGGGACCTGCATCAACAATACTTCAGTCATGATGTTTAAAAAGGGAAGCTTTGAGATTGGAGGAACCATACACCCTGTTGCAATTAAGGTGAAACAGATTTTGAAAAGGCACTGGATCGGTGATGATATGTTTGATGGAATTACAAATTTGGGATCCGCAGGAAGGAGGGACCCTTGCATGCTCTGCTCAGATGCTGCACAGTTCTCTCTGTTTGCCCATTTGCTTTTTCATTCTCCCTCTTCCGCCCCTCTCTTCCTTGTCCTTCAAGTCGTGGGTGGTCGTATGCCAGGGGTTGTTGATATTCAGTGGTAAGAATGGAGTTGTAGGCAGAGCACTTCCGGCCCCTCCTTGGCAGGACTGGCCTTCCGGTTCCATGTAGACGGATATTAACTAGTTGCATAAATCGCCCTCGTATTGCAATGCTTGGAGGCTCTATTTAGAGAAGCAGTTGTCTCCTAGAAGTTAGCTGGCCTCATTTACTTTTTGTGATCCATTCTGTCGAAAAGCAGAGAAGCGAAGCCTTTCGTCTTTTGGGGTCTGACAGAGCTGGCTGTCCTGCTACTTTAAGAACCCTGACTGTGCAGGAAGCCGCCCGTGGGACCTGACCAGGATGTCTTTTTCTTTGCTTTTTCTCAGTATAACCCCCAGTTTGGGGACGCTTTTTGGAATAGTAGTAAATACAACATGGTGAGCTACCTGCTTCGCATGATGACCAGCTGGGCCATCGTCTGTGACGTGTGGTACATGCCACCCATGACCAGAGAGGTATTCCCGGGACCTTGCGTGGGCTTTGGGCTGTTACCCTGAAGCTGGAATCCCTGGGCCTCCCCCTTCTTCACATCCTGCCCTCCGGCTTTCTCGACGGATAGTTTGTATTTCTAAATAATGTATACATTGCTCTTCAAATCAGGGCGTTTATTGAGAGACTCTTTTCCATCATAGTCTTACACAATTGCTCTTGGTTTATCAAACCTACAGATAAACCTTGTGCCCGAGCAGGCTAATAAAGAGCATAGTGAAGACAGGCATATGATTAAAAAAAAAATCAGTTCAACGGTTCATTTTCTTGTTAGGATAAATGATATTTCTTATGTTTGAGAATAGAAAGCATTTGGACTAGAAGCCGGGCATGGTGCCTCACGCCTGTAATCCCAGCACTCGGGAGGCTGAGGCAGGAGGATCGCTGTGAGTTAGAGACCAGCCTGGGCTACATAGTGAGTTCCAGGTCAGTCTCAACTACAGTGAGACCCTGTCTCAAAAAGCCAAAAAGAGAAAGCATTTGGTCTAAAATTTGAATCTTTATTTCAAAACAAATATAAATGATGATGAAATATTTCAAGTTTTTTTTAAATTCCATATCCCTGAGATGAATAATTATTTCTTATTCAACCAGGAAGGAGAAGATGCTGTCCAGTTTGCAAATAGGGTTAAGTCTGCTATTGCTGTACAAGGAGGATTGACTGAACTTCCCTGGTAAGAAATTTTTCGGGAATACTATTCTTTTTTTTGGGGGGGGTTTGAGACAGGGTCTCACTATGTAGTTGAGACTGACCTGGAACTCACTATGTAGCCCAGGCTGGTCTCGAACTTACAGCGATCCTCCTGTCTCAGCCTCCTGAGTGCTGGGGTTAAAGGCGTGTGTCATCACGCCCTGCGGGAATACTATTCTTTTTTTAAAAATAAATTACTGTTAACAAAATATTGTTTATTGTGCTAGTTATCTATAGGCCAAGCTGAAAGTGATAGTGGTTTATACAAAATAACAAACACTTAATGGAACAGAGACGTTTATCTCTCCCTTAAACAAGAAGCATCCAGGCCAGTGTAACAGCCCCACTAGTGTGCTCTTCATCCTCACCCTGTGCCTTTACTTTATGGTCTGTAATGGCTGCCATGACTCTGCCCAGTGTGTACAGCAAGTGGGGAGCAGGAAGGAATTTAACAAGAACTCAAGCGTCTCTACAGGAGCACACACTGGGCGTTAGACGCACACTCGTGTCCATTGGCTAGTGCTGAACTCGCACAGTAACACCCAACTGCAAGGCACTCTGGGGGATGTAGTCTTCGTTCTGTGTGGCGGTGTTCTTAGTTAAAGTGTAGGGTTCTTACACTGCAGAAGGAAGAAAGGGAGAGTGAGTGGCTTTAGGGATGAGACGAGGGACTAACAGGCTTGTTCATATTCAACTGTAGCTATGACTATAATACATTATAACTGTAGTAAAGAACACTTGAGATAACGGAAACAAAACAGTGAGAGCTATGACTTTCATTTGTTTTATTTGTTGGAGGAAGTTTGGCTGTAGGTGAAGATACTAGCTTGAGATGCCATAACAAATGCCATCGACGAGGTATCATAAGCAACGGCGCTGTTATTTCTCACAGTTCCGGAAGTTTGAGATTAGGACGCCGCATGGCCAGTTGCCGGCGAGGGTTCTCCCCTTGCAAAGGCTGCCTTCTCTGGCCCAGGCGACCTTTCCTTAGACGGAGTGATACCTCTAGTGTCTCTTCTTCTAAGGGCACGAATCCCAGGGTGAGGGCCGCCCTGATGACCTCATGTAACCCTGCTTCCTTTCCAAAGGCCTCCTCTCCAAACGGCATCGACCAGGGGTGAGAGCTTCACCACAGGAATTTGAGGGCTTTAAAAATGTCCCTCTGTGACAGTGAGGGTCACCTCTACCTACTCTGTAATGGCAGATTGAAGCCTTGCATGTACGTAGACCTTATTTTATCAAGTTCTTAGAAGCCAGTGGGCCACAGCAGCCCAGGCTCTTGTTAGGTCCTCAGTTTATTTTTTCATATATTTCAAGTCCTGTAAGTTCAATAAAATCTCCACTTCCTTTTTTGGAATTTCAAAAGCACTTTACATGAAACGTTCTTTTGAAGCCATTGTGATTTTCTAGGAGTTGCTGCCTAACCGAATCAGCGGGCCAGGAAGTAGGACCTGGGATGAGGGTGAAAGCCTCTGGAAGAGGGCTAGGGCGCACCTTAAAGTTTCTGCATGAGTGGCGGGGGGACTCTCAGTAAAACACTTCACCCCGTAGCTTACCTTAGACACAAGGGGATCAAACTATCCAGTGAATGTTTGTATATTAAAAAGTTTAGGGCCAGGGATTTAGCTCAGTGGTTCTGCCACCTGCCTCACAAGTGCAAGGACCTGAGTTCAATACCTGGTACCATAAATAAATAAATAAATAAAATAAAAAGTTTAAAAGGGCCGGGGATGTAGCTCAGTGGTTCCACCACCTGCCTGCAAGCACAAAGGCCTGAGTTTGATCCCTGGTACAAAAAGAATAAATAAATAAAAATTAAAAAATCTAAAAGTGTATTAGGGGGCCAGGGAGTTGGCTGAGTGTTTCTGCTTCCTGCCTCTCAAGCACAAGGTCCCGAGTTCGATCCTTGGTACCAAAAAAAAAAAAAAAAGTCTATTACAGTAAAAGACACGTTGCAATTAATCTCAGGATTTGCTCTCTTAATTCAAACATGCTGATCCCCGCATTCTTCCACTTTGTGAAGCAGTTGTGGAAATCTTCCTTCCTGAGTATCTTTGCAGGAAATGATTAGGAACCCAGAGAGTGGTGCTGCCGGTGCCACCCAGTGGGAGGGCTGGCTTGGAAAAACATGGCAGTGTGTCCGCATCCTCCTCACCCACCGGATCTAAACAACCATAAAAGGGATATGTTTTGTTTGTTTGTTTTTGGGGGGCACTGGGGATTGAACTTGGGTCCCTGTGCTTTTGAGGCAGGCAGCAAAATCCCCAGCCCTGAAAGGGAAATGTTTTGAATCAATTTAGGACATGGAGGCAGCCAGTGCAGTGCGATGCTCAGGAAAGAGGACTCCAGAGCTGCTTTAGAAAGTGATGAGGAAAATGCGATGAGTGTTTTTTGGTTTTTGTTTTTGGTGGGGATGTGTTGGTGGTGGTATTTTGCATGGGACTAATGGTGGCAGTATCTTTCACAGTAATAAATTTTTAAAACATTAGATGTTCACCGAACTTCTAGATCACATCCCATACTCAGCTTCCCAATCTTAGTTCTCGCTGTTTCAAATTCATGTAAGTGCTATGAACAGTTCCAGGTGGCTCACTGGGATAAAGAGCCTTCTCTTCACGATTCTGGGGACCTCACAGCAGTGTTTCTCATTCCATGGAAACCTCCCACAGCTGGCCCCTGAGAAATCTGTGGAATGTTGTCTGTTCTTAGGTGGAGGACCCAGGGGCCCGAGTCTCGGGTTTGTCCCTCCCGTCCTGACCTTGCGCTGGTCTCAGGCAGGCGTCTGGATGGAGCTCTCAAGCTGCGTCCACTTCACTACCCTGAAATCATTTATCACTATCTGAAAGCCCTGGGTAAACATTCGTGCTTGACTAGGTTAAAATTAAACAGTCACAGCACGTAGTGAGCAAGCCTTCAGCCCATGCTCTGCTAGGGGTTGAAATTGGAAACACTGAATCGTAGGGAGAAGGGGCCCCAGTAGCCCAGGATCTTATTAGCTCCTCAGTTTATTTTTTCATGTAGCCAAGGACGGGGAGGCACGCAGCATCCTTAGAACCCAGACAGGTCTGCCTTGCACCACCTTGGCGGGGTTCCAAGACCTCAGGCTCTGAATGAACACAGGCTGCTTCTTGGGCGCTAACTTCCAGTCAAGTGCTACTCATGATTTAATTTGTTGTATCTTCAGTCTGTTTGGGAATTTGGAAGAGTTTACTCAAAATTTAGGGCTTTGAATAAAAATAATTCTTGTTAAGCATGGGGTTCTATTTATTGGTAAGGAATTTGGTCACACAGATGTAGCATTACTATTTCTTGTGTGTATCTTTTAAATTTTTTTATGGTTTTCCAGTAAGACACAGGCAAATGAAAAAAAAACCAATGTTTTGTTTTCCTTTGGGAAAATTATAGGGAAACAAAATCCTGGTTTTAATAATCCTTATTTAAATTCAAATGTGGAACAAACACATCAACCCTAACTTCTGAAAACCACCTGAATAGAGGAGATGCAATTCCTTTTTTGTTTGTTTGTTTGTTTTTTGAGACAGGGTCTCACTATGTAGTCAAGACTGACCTGGAACTCACTATGTAGCCCAGGCTGGTCTTGAACTCACAGTGATCCTCCTGCCTCAGCCTCCCGAGTTCTGGGATTACAGGCCTGTGCCACCACGCCTGGCAACAGATGCTATTCTTTTCTTTTTTGGGGAGGGTGCCAGGGATCGAACTCAGGACCTTGAACTTGCAAGGCAGGTGTGGCTGCTGAGCTAAGTCCCCGGCCCAATACTTGGTGAGTGGTAGCTCGGAGACTGAACTCGGAGTCTTCCTGCTTCCAAATCCAGTGTTCCCTTATGTGGCACACGTTAGCATGACCTTTCTTGCATCCTTACTGGGAGTGTCTGATAGATTGACCTTTCTATTTCTAGGGATGGTGGGCTGAAGAGAGCAAAAGTGAAGGACACCTTTAGGGAGGAACAGCAGAAGAATTACAGCAAGATGATTGTGGGCAATGGTGCTCTCAACTTGGAATCAGACTGACGGCGCCCTGGAAAGATCTTGGCTTCCTACAGCTACCCCTAGAAATGCAGTGGTTGGGTGTGGGGGGTGTTGTTTTGTTTTAGTGTTTTTGTTTGTTTTTTTGAGACAGGGTCTTGATATATAGTTCAGACTGGCCTTGCACTCACTATGTATTCCAGGCTGGCCTCGAACTCGTGGCGATCCTCCTGCTTCAGCCTCCAGAGTGTAGTGTTTTGTTTTTATTGTTCACGTTTTCTACAGAATGATTGTCTCTACCTCTTCATGCCAGAGGCAGAACCTGCAGGCACCCTTTTGGACCTTTGTCATTGTTCTAGCATTAGCCCGGGGACTGTAAGGGAGTTCGCTGAGTTAGAACAGATTCTGACTTCTGTGAAAGGACAGCGTCACTGGTGATTAAATGAAGTGTTTGCACAGGAAAAAGTGCTGCTGGAGTGTGTTCGGAACATGTGGATAGAGTAATTCTCAAACACCCAACCTCTGTTTTCCTCATCGACTCCCCACACCCTTCACTGGCTCGTGGGTGGGGTTCACCTCCACGTGAGGTCGCTGTCAAGATCGCGTCCTCATGCGAGGCTGACAGTGGGTTTAGGAGAAAGGGCAAGAGTGGTGTCCTGCTCTGAAAGTGGAAAGGAAATGTAAATCAATATTTGTTAATGTGTTGGTGGAGAGATACCATTTGAGACGCTTTCCCGAAGGATAAACGAGTGGTGTAAATGAGTGTGTGTGTGTTTACATGTAGGGAACTCACAGCACATTTTGGCCGCAGTAGTGACAAAGAGCTTAGCTGTTCTTGTCCATATGCCGAGCACACCCTCCTGTCTCTGAGTGTGTTTGCTTTTCTAACTAAACGTATTTTCAGATAGAAGGAATCTTTTAAAAAATGTCATTGGTTGTTTTAGGTACGAATGAGGGAAGTCTGTAATGTTGCCCTACACCCTCCAGTCCCTTCCTGGTTTATTCTTAAACTTTCCAAGTCTCTTCAGCAGAAAAATAAGTGGTATAATTACCTTTTGGAAACTGAGCCTTAATTTTTTTTAAAAGGGGAAAAGAAGCTTCCCCAGCTGAAACAGCAGTAGCAGTGTTGGTGGCAGGCACAACGCAGCAGCAGCTATGTGAGGGTGTGAGCTGTCTCACCATGGAAATAAAAAATTTTATATTTTTAAATGTGTGGTGCATCATTTTCCGTCCCCTCCACCTCCTTCAGGTTTTGAGTTAAATTCCTCCTTATGACAAACAGATTATTTTCATTTCAGTAACATTTAGATTCACTGGGCTGGAACACCTGGGGAACTAGAATATCGACCCCTGTGTGTTTGTTTGTTCGTTCGTTTGTTTTTTAATTCTCCCTCCTAGCCCAGCTATTTGGACTCCAGCCTTGTGTGGACTCTGCCTTGAACAAAGTCCCTGGCTTAGGTGGTGGACCCAGATAGTTACCTCTGATTGGTGGCTGGGCAGGCCTGGCAGAGTGCCCTCCCTGGTAACCCTCTCGCCGAGACAGATGGACTGGATCCCAAAAGAGAATTTGCACACAAGGTTTTTTTTGTTTTTCTGATTTTTTGAGACAGGGTCTCACTACATAGTTGAGACTGACCTGGAACTCACTGTGTAGCCCAGGTTGGTCTCGAACTCACAGCGATCCTCCTGCCTCAGCCTCCCGAGTGCTGGGATTACAGGCGTGCACCACCATGCCTGGCTGCACACAAGGTTTCCTCTTGGTCCCCTGGCTCTCCGTTCCCACCTCCCTCTGAGGTTGTTGCTTTAAGTTTTGCCTCTCCCCCAAACTACTGGGGTGTTCTCTACCCCATAGTGGAGAATCAGTACATCCACTGATGTTAAGGTGACCCTGTGTCTTTTTTTTTTTTTTTTTGGTACGGGGGATCTAACTCTGGTCCTTGCGCTTGCAAGGCAGGCGGCAGCACCCCTGAGCTAAATCCCCCTTTGTCTTGTTTTCTTTCACTGAAAGAGAAGTTCCTTTATCTCTTTACTTTTCATATTCAATATGATTTGAACTAATAAATCCATTTAATTAGCCCAATCCTCATAAAAGCTGATAGAAGAGCTAATAGTTATTTTGCTTGGATATAGATTAAAGATGCCTTCCTGAGAGCACTGTGGAAACAGTAATGTTCCTGGGTGTTCACTGACCAATCTAGGGCTCCTTCAGCTGGAACTCCCATCTTGTAGGTCTCTAACTTGTACAGCTTTCAAGTTACTCGAGGAATTTCCAGGTTATGAAAACATGTTTCTGAAAAGCTAATATTGCCCAAATTTAGCTCAGACTCCTTAAAACCTCCCTACCCTATTTTATATCCATGTTAGAAAAATATGGTATTCAACATTTAATATTCTTGAGTCTTTGGTGCAGTTCTCGCAATGAGATTTCAGAGGTAGGTGGGATTTGGTAGAAAAATCCCATGAAGCAGCCTTTCCCCTAACCCTTGCAGAGATTCATGAACTGAGCCTTGAGGTTGCCCTTGTATATGTTCCAGCTCTCCTGCCTGTATCTTCGGATGGCAGACTTTAGGAATGCCAAGGCTTCTGAGATACTTTGGCACAGCTGGGGCATGGAGGAGCAGCCATTTGTGAAACAAAATAGACATAGGGCACAGGAATAGTCCTGAGAGTCAGCTGGTACACAGGACAGTCTCCAGGAAGGTTTTCCGGTATAAACAGACCTTCCAAAGCACTGTAAGCATCTTACTTGATCCTCCAGGGTATACATAGCCCTAGGGCATTCTATTGATTTTTTTTGTTTTGTTTTGAGAGTAGGAAAAATTTATTGAAAGATAGCTTCTGTCTAAGATACAGAAGGGGGACCGGAAAGTGGGTTGTCCCTTGGTGTTCTAATGTACAAGGCTGGGGCTTTGTTTCCAAAATGTTACTGAACTTAGCCCACCTCCTGATTGGGCAGAGTAGGGTGTGAAGGTAGGGTGGGCAAGATTGGGTCTGGATTGGTCCTGGAGGTTGGGCCCTGTAATATGGACCTGGACAAAAACTGGTTGTGTTTTTTAAACACTCGTTCCCAGTGAATTATGATAGTGTTGGGTATTATTTGTTTGTAATAATGGTGAAAGTGATAGGATAAAGAGTCATAAGACATTCTGTAGCTATGGCTCTAGCACTTTTTGCAGGCTTTTGCAATTGTCCAGTTCCCTTTGCCTTAATATTTACCATGAGATAAACAAAAAATACATGTACGCGGCTGGGCATGGTGGCCCAAGCCTGTAATCCCAGCACTCGGGAGGCTGAGGCAGGAGGATCGCTGTGAGTTCAAGATCAGCCTGGGCTACATAGTGAGTTCCAGGTCAGTCTCAACTACATAGTGAGACCCCATTTCAAAAGAACCCCCCCCAAAAAAAAACCAAAACAAAAAAAACATGTACATGAAAATATGCCAGGTACATGTCAAGAACAACGGCAAAAACAAGTCCCTGTAGGATCATTACCAGACTTACGTAGAACATGACTGTTGGAGGAAGGTCTGAAAAATCAGTTTCTGGTTCCACTTCCACTTGATGGATGTATGGGCTGTTTGTAGCTTTCTTTAAGATTCCTTGGATGTGTGTCCAAGTGGACTTTCCCAGAAGTTTCTCTAACTTTTGATTTACTAGGAATTAGGGTTGTTGCATGATAACGCTGGCATATCCAAGTTTAGGGTAGAAACCACCAAACTCCCAAAAGGTTGTACCATTTTATACAACCCTCCAGCAGGATGCGAGAGCAGTAGTGTCTGGTGTGATAGCATACCGGGGTTTATTATTACCATCTTATTTGTGTCTTCTCACCCATCTTTATCATCTCTTTTCTTGCTCTCTTTTGGAGTTATTACTTCATTTATTTTTCTCTATATAAATTGTGGATTATCGAATGTCTTATTTTTATTTTTCTGTGTTACCTTAGTAATTTCAACTTGTACTCTTACCAAATTCTAAAGTTGAATTTTGTCCTAACTCTCAAGGACCCTGGAAGTTGAACTCCAGCACTCCCCCAATTTATATCCTATGGATGTAATCTATCGATGGGTTCCTAGCTCCCTGGGCTAGGAGGTGGGACCCCACCCTCTCAGGCCCTCCGCTTTCCTCTCTGCTTCCTGACCGCCCTGAGATGACCGATTTATCTCTGTCACTCCATCCATCATCATGTTTGTGCCTCACCGTGGACTAGAAGGAATAGAACCTAGTGACCGTGGACTGAAACCACGAGGCAAAATAAAACTTTCCTCCTTTAAATTGTTTTCCTCAGACGTTTTGTCATAGACCTGTCATCTTTTGTGGAATTTCATCACCTCTCAACCCTCCAGAAGTGGGATTAACCAATGACAGTCCAGAGGCCGAGTCCTGAGCTTTGCCTGTTTGTGTTAATTAAATTTTATTGGAAGACAGCTATGCTCATTTGTTTGCATAGTGTCTGTATCTTCTCTTCCCCAACAACAGCAAAGTTGTGCAGTTGCCATAGGAACCACAAGATCCAGAAAACCTCAAACATTTATGATCTAGCTCTTCACTCTATATAGTTTTCCTACTTGACCTCTAGGCCAGTAGCAGTCTGGGGTCACTTGAAACAGAATTACTGTCTTGAGATTTATTAGCCCATGTAAATAGTGAGACTTTAGTCTATAAGCCCAAACAAAGGCCATATTGTGGTTTTGAATTTCCTCCATAATGTCTTATCTTTGGTTTTTTGAGACAGGATCTTCTTCTGTAGTTCAGACTGGGCTTTAACTCACTATGTAGCCAGGCTGGCTTCAAACCTGCAGTGATCCTCCTGCCTCAGCCTCCCAAGGGTTGGGATTATAGGCCTGCACCACTCCCCAGCCTAGTTTATTCCTTTTAATTGCCAACTAGTTTTTAAGTCCTTAGAGGAAGGTTATTTTTCCCTATCACTTGGCACTAGAGTTTGATAACAAGCCATTGTGCTAGCTCACATTGGAGCGAGGAGAGGGATAACTCTGCTTTACACTTGTACAGACGATGGAACAAATGTTTTCCATCCTCAGGGCAGGCGTTAGACACCAGGCCTTCAGTTTTGTTGTGGTCCCTTAGGCCCTTGTCTGTCTAAAAATCAATGGTCAAAATCAGCCAGGGCCTAAAGGTGAAAGCCAAGCACTGGTCTCTGTTCTCTGCTTTGCTGCTGGGGATCTGCCTCCCTTCAGGTTGAGTAGTCTTAATCTTCTTGCTAGTTTTTAGAAACAGTCAAATTAATTCTTATTATTTAGGAGCTTGGTGGTTATTTGTCATTACAAATAAAAATTCTAGAGGTAGCTGTAAATTTTTAAAAATTCTCTTTTAATCTAGATTAAAGCCACTATTTTAACATGAAGAATAAAAATGCTCCTTTGCTGAATAGTCCTTTAATGGGTCTGTTCCATTGATCCTTTGGTCTGTTTTTTTTCCAGTACCATGCTGTTTTTATCACAATAGCTTTGTAGTATAATTTCAAGTCAGGGATTATGTTGCCCTCTGCCTTACCTTTGTTGCCCAGAATTACTTTTGCTATTGTGGGTTTCTTCTTGTTCCAAATGAATTTTAGGATTGTTTTCTCTAATTTTGTAAGATATACTGTTGGTATTTTGTTTTGTTTTGTTTTGTTTTGTTTTTTGTACCAAGGATTGAACTCAGGACCTGGCTCTTGTGAGGCAGGCAGCTGAACCATTGAACTAAATCCCCGGCTGCTATTGGTATTTTGATCAGGATTGCATTACATATTTTTAACAATTGTGGAAGTATGCCATTTTTACTAATATTGATTCTTCGTACCTAGGAACAAAGGATTCTTTCCATTTTTGGGTATCCTCTTCAATCTCCTTTTTTAGAGTACTGCCTTGTCAATGTAAAGGTCTTTTACTTCCTTTGTTAGATTGATTCCTAGGTATTTAATTTTTCTTGGATGCTATTGTGAAAGACATTGTTTCCCTACTTTCTCTCAGTAAGTTTGTTGTTTGTTTGTGTACAGGAGTGCTATTGATTTTTGAGTGTTGACTTTGTATTCAGCTATGCTACTGAATTTGGTTATTAAATCTAGAGGTCTTCTGGTGGAGGTTTTGGGGTCTTCTATGTAGAACATCATGTCATCCACAAATAATGTTAATTTAACTGCTTCCTTTCCTACCCTTACTTCTTTTATTTCTCTCTCCTGTCTAATTGCGCTGCCTAATGTTTCCAGAACTATATTGAATAAGAGTGGTAATAATGGACATCCTTGTCTCGTTCCTGATTTTAGAGTGAAAGCTTTCAGTTTTTGTCCAATGAGTGTGATGTTGGCTGTTGGTTTGTCAGATAGCTTTTATCAGATTGGGATAAAAACCATCTCTTCCAATTTTCTGTAGAGTTTTTATCACGAATGGTGTTGGACTTTTTCAAACACTTTTTTTGAATCTATTGAGGTGACCATATGGTTTTTGTCCATGACCCTGTTGATATAGTATATTGCATTTATTGATTTGTGTATGTTGAACCATCACTGCATCTACGGGATGAATCCTACTTATTCATGGTGTATAATCTTCTTGATGATTTGCTGCATTCTGTTTGTCAGTATTTTGTTGAGGACTTTTGTGTCCCTGTTCATTAGGGAGATTGTCCTGTAGTTCTCTTTTTTGGATCCTTCTCTGGTTTTGGTATCAGGGTGATGCTTGCTTCCAGGATTGACTTTGGGAGTATTTCTTCCCTTTTAGTTTCATTAAAGAGTTTGAGAAGTAGAAGCATTTGGTCTTTCTTTGTTGGTAGGTTTTTTTTTTTTTTTTGTGGGGGGATACCGGGGATTGAACTCAGGACTTTGCGCTTGTGAGGCAGGTGGCAGAACCACTGAGCTAAATCCCTGGCCCTGTTGGTAGGTTTTGAAGTCCTCTTCAATTTTGTTGACTGATATTGGTTTATTTATAATTTTTATATCTTCTTGATTCAGCTTTGGTAATGCATATTTGTCCAGGAGTCTGTCCATTTCTTTTAAATTGTCTATCTTGAGTACAGGTTCTCAAAGTAGGTACTACTGATCTTCAGTATTTCTGCAGGATCTGTTGTGATTTTACCCTTTTCATTCCTAATTGTATGGATTTGAGTCTTTTCTCTTTTTTGATAAAGTTGGCTAATGGTTTTATTTTATTTATTTATTTATTTTTGCTTGCTTTTTTTTTTTTTTTTTTTTTTTTTTTTTTTTGAGACAGGGTCTCATTATGTAGTTGAGACTGACCTGGAACTCACTATGTAGCCCAGGCTGGTCTCAAACTAACAGCAATCCTCCTGTCTCAGCCTCCTGAGTGCTGAGATTAAAGGTGTGCACCACCATGCCTGGCTTTATTTTTTATTTTTTGATACCGGGGATCAAACTCAGGATCTGTGCTTGTGAGGCAGGTGGCAGAACCACTGAGTTAAATCCCCAGCCCTTGTCAATTTTATTTAATCTTTCAAAGAACCAACTCTTCAATTCATTGATTCTTTGTATTGTTTTCTTAGTTTCCATTACTTTAATTTCTGCTTTTACCTTTATCATTTCCTCCCTCATATGAAGTTTGGGTTGACTTACTCTTAATTTTTCTAGAAGCTTGAGGTTCAACATTAGGTTGCTTGAGATTATTCTGTTTTTCTGATATGAGAATTCACCACTATAAATTTTCCTTTTAGGACTGCTTTCATTGAATCTGGTAAGTAGTATTGGCATTATCATTTAATTAATTTTTTCCAATGTTCAGAAGGGTGTTATTTTATTTCTATGAGTTTATGAAGTTTTCGTGGTCTCTTTTGCCATTGATTTCCAATCTCATCGCACTGTGGTCTGATAAGATGTGTGGGATAATTTTAATGCCTTTGCATTTACTTAAGCATGTTCTATAAGCTCGTATGTGGTCTATTTTGGAGAATGTTGCACCTGCAGCTGAGAGGAACATGTATTCTAATGTGGGCTGGAACACTCTGTAGACACCTACTAAGGTCATTTGTTCAAAAGCGTGCTTCAGTGCTGATATTTCTTAGTTGATTTTTTATCTAGTTGATCTGTCTGTTTGTGTCTGTGGGATATTGAGGTCCCCATTACAATTTTATTAGTGTTTATTTGATTTTTTCATGTCTGTTAATATTTGTTTTATATAGTTGTGTTTCCTGGTATTTAGCACATATATATTTATGATTGTTACGTCTTCCTCTTGGATTGTTCCCTTTACAAGGATGAAGTGACCTTTAATCAGTCTTGGCTTGAAATCCATTTTATCTGCAAATAGAATAGCTGCCTCTGGTTTTTCTGGGTTCCTGTCTCATGGAGTATTGTTTTCCATCCTTTGACTTTCAGTTTATGAATTTCTTTCTCTTTTTTTTCTTTTTCTTTCTGGTACTGGGGATCAAACTCAGGACCTTGTGAGGCAGGCATGATGCCGCTGAGCTAAATCCCCAGCCCAGTCTACGAATTTCTTTTGGAATTAAACATGTTTCTTTTATGGAGCATATTGTTGGATCTTGCATGTTGTTGATCCTTTCTGCCAGTCTGTTTCTTTTGATTGGTGAATCAAGACCATTAACATTGGTGGTTATTACCGATATGCATTGACTTGTTCTTGTCATTTCATCTTCCAGTTGTTGGCTCCCTGTTTTCCTCCTGTTTAATTAATCTGCCTGCTTGCCTTCGTTCCTTCCTTTCTTCTTTTCTTTGTGTTTTTGAGACCCAGTCTTGCTATGTAGCCCAAGCTGTTCTTGAATTCACTAAGTAACCCAGGATGATCTTAAACTCCTGGTGATGCTCCTGGCTCTCAGTCTCCCGAGTGCTGGCTTTATGGTGTGCACCACTAGGCTTGTGAATGTGCATTCCTTCAAAGAATAAGTGAATTTAAGGTTTTTGGAGAAGTTTTAAAAAATTGTATCCCTTGTCTTAAGATATCTCCTCTCCTCGACAATTACACAGATCAATTAGGAATCACACATTACAGTTGGAGCCGGGCATGGTGGCACACATCACAGCACTAGGGAGGCTAAGGCAGGAGGATTGCTTTGACTTCAAGGCCAATAAAGCACTATAAAGCGAGAGCCGGTCTCAAAAAAAAAAAAAAAGAAAAAAAATATTAGAGTTGGGCAAGTTTTCAAATCACTTTTTCTCTATAAAGCAAATCACCTATATTTGATGTCTACTGTGTGTCCTTTATTATTCTGGGCCTAGGGACCCAGCAATGACAAAGAGAGGCAAAGTGCTTAGACTTACATAAATCTACTAAAGCAGGTAGAAAATAAAAGAAATTGGGAAATATGTACAGATGAAACCATCACAAGGGATTGGTTCTGAGTGGCATTTTTTTTTTTTTAAGATTTTTTTTGTTTGTTTGTTTTTTTGTTTTTTGAGACAGTGTCTCACTAAGTAGCTCAGGCTGGTCTAGAACTTACAGCAATCCTCCTACCTCAGCCTCCCAAGTGCTGGGATTACAGGCGTGCGCCACCATGCCCGGCTTTTTTTTTTTTTTTTTTTTTTTTAATGTAAGCCTTGGGAAATAAATGTCTTTTGCCTTCTTTGAGCCTTTATGGAAGAGGATCTCTACTCACAGCCCGAGTAGAGTCTGGGAACAGGGAGTGGCTCTGAGCTTTGTCGTATGCTCCCCTGAGTCACCATGTTCTGCTACAGGCACCCCTGACATCTTGTTGCTAAATCAGACACGGTGAACTGTGCCACAGTCCCTGCCTGGAGGAGTTTTCAGCAATGTTTGTAAGGCCCATTTGGAATTCATTCCTCCAGACGCCGAATTTTGTTCAGGACCAACAGAGAAATGACTTTGGAAATCTTGTCCTACCTAGTAGCTGCTGCAGAGATTTGGTTAATCAATAGAAAGACTGCTCCTTCAGGTACCACAGCCTCACCCACAAAGTCTCTCCCATCGCACTCCATTGTAATCACCCCTTTAGACACTGACACAGATAGTAGGCGGTGCATACCAGGATTCCAGCTCTGGCAGTCCCGAGGCTCTCCCTGCCCTCAGGAGCTTGGAATCTGGCCGTGAATGACGGAAGAGCTCTGCTCAGAAGAAGAAGCACCAAGGCCTTCCTGTGTCCTGGGAGCCAAGTGCTGAGGTGGCTGGGAGCAGTGCTTCCTGGGGGAGTGGGGTCACAGAGGGGACACGAATGTGCTTGGGGTGTAAGAGCTCTCCGAGGAAGGGGAAAGGGCTGCTGAGGGATTCCCCATCCTTCACATGTGCGGCCCAGAAGCCAGTTGTAGCATATTCTCTGTGTGAATATTCTCTGTTCCTGCCTTTGGAGGCTCCTTCTCTGTGACCAGCCCAGCCCACGCCATTGGGTCTCATCTGGGCGACAGGGGCCTGCTCTGGCTGAGCTCCCTGCTGCTGTTCTTGTTACCAGGAGTGTATTGGTAAACAGTGGTCGTTTTACATCACAAACCGGAATCACGCCACTCCTGCTTTTAGAACTCCCCTGTAGCTTCCCCACTGTATGAAGTATAAAGATCGGATTTCTTACCCTGGCACGGAAGCCGTGATACAACCCAAATACCGCTCACTCCTGTAGCTGCTTTCCATCATGCCTTCCCTTCTCCCGTCAATCTGACCTTTTTGTTCTCTTTTGAAACCAATAATCGTATCTCCGCCTCAGGACCTCAAGACCCTCTGTGTCAGCTGGGAATGATCTGGTCTGGAGAGCAGTCTTGGGCCGTGGCCATAGCAACTCCGTTTTATGGTGGGTACCTTCGAGCTGTCCCGTGGGCCCTCCTGTGTGCTAAGGCTTTGTGCAATCCTTGTCACCGCATTTGCTGAGACCAGTGGAATCCAAAGAGGACGGCTCCACAGGGCACATAAACACATAATTCTTCCTCGGGCTTTGGATGGGGGGGTTTGTGTTTAATTCTGATTCTTGCTTTTGCTTTTTTTCTTTTCTGCCGTGTAGTTTAGAGTCCTGAGTAAACAGGAACTCAGTAAGCAAGGGGTGGAGACGCTAGGACAGCTGCCCGTGAGTGTCTGTGCCCCGTAAGTGACGCCCCCATGGACTCACTGACTTGGCCCAGTTGTTCTTGGCCCCTTCCCAATTCAGGGGCAGGCGTTGCTTTTACATCTCCTGGGGAAATGTACAGAACAGATCTATATATTTGCAAAATGCCTTTCTTATTTGCCTTCTCAAATATCCACCCCCCCATGCCTTCCCTGGCCATTTGACCTAAAGCAGCAGCCCTGTCACTACCCCTAGATCCTGCTTCTTTTCCAATAATATTTATGTCCAAACATTATATGTTTGTCTTATGCAGCCCCAGTAGCACGATAAGCTTGATCAATATTTGCAAAACAATGGGTGAATTAAAACATCATCCCTCAATCCCTTCTTGACTTTCAAGACCTTGGCAACTTTGAGATGACAGGCCCGTCATTTATTTATTTATGATTCTCCCAGCGGTGTGCAGTTCCTGGGGGTGCTGCAATACCAGCTCTGTGTGATCACGGGGTGGAGCAAGCTCAGCAAGCTCGTATCCTGTCTTCCTGACCACAGGTCCATTTGGTAGAGGATGCTTCAGATCCTCAGCTGTAAGAATGACGCTGCAGTAGATCTTAGCCAAGGGGACCAGAGGCAACAGGCGTCGATTTCTAGTCGTTTCCTATCTTTGGATGTTCCCAGTGTCATCTTATGATTCCACCCAAGTCTTGCACCTTTGCAGGGGTGACAGGGATGAAGGCTGTGCCCAATGCATGCGGTCCTCTCAGGTGCTGTCCACTTATGACTGGACTCATTACTGAGACTTTTCTTTTTTGGTACTGGGGAATGAACTCTGGTCCTTGCACTTGTGAGGCAGGCAATACTGAAACTCTTCACTGAGGGTTTTTATGAAGGTGATGTTTTAGTCAGGTAGGGTTGCCAAAATAAAATTTGTGTGGCTTAGCCAGGTGTGGTGGTGCATGCCTGTAATCACAGCACTTGGGAGGCTGAGGCAGGAGGATCACTGAGAGTTCGAGACCAGCCTAGGCTACATAGCGAGTTCCAGGTCAGTTTCAACTACATAGTGAGACCCTGTCTCAAAAAAATTTTTTTTGTGCGGCTTAAGCCACTGGTCTCTGTATTTTCTGTGTCTAATCTTTCTTGTAAGAATACGAATGATATTGGGTAAGGGCCCGTTTCCCTGATCTCATTTTACCGTAGTCACCTTGTTAAAGGACTTAAATACAGTGGCAGTCTGCCTCACTAGGGGCTACAGCTTCAATGTAGAAATTTAGGGAGACACCGTCCAGCCCATAACAAGTGGTGTCTGTTTGGCTTTGTCATTTGAGACTTACTCGTTTCCTGCTTTGTTAATGAATGAGTCGTTTGGAAAGATGCTTGCCATGGTGTATCCCGTTCCGCATTTAAATTTATTCATTTAGTTTATATTAGAACGTGGACTCATGGTTTCTATTTCATTTAATGGATTACAGTCCATTTCCACCATCAGCCACCTTGACGTTAGGTTTGGCCCATAGCGCCCCCTCCAGGCTGGCTTCTCTGTACTCTGGACATCTGATCGTTTACATCCTTCCTCTCAGGCACAAGACCTGCAGGCTCACCTTCTTTCCTGACCCAACCCCAAGTCAGTCATTTCCACAGGAAGCCCTGGTTGCTTTCAGGGAGCACGGTGTCCAAAAGCCAAGACGGGTGCTGGCTTGTGCCTTGTTCCTGAGGTGTTGCTGCCCTCCGACCCTGCCAGCAGACAGAGTGAGGCATGTATGTGCGCAACACACTGATGTCTATTTATTTTTGTCTGTGTTTCCACCTGCGTATCTATCAGTCATCTCTCTTGTCTGTGTCAGTCACCGTCTCTAATCTGTCATCTATATCTACCTATATTTATTGCCATCACCTCTATATTAGCCACAGAAGTTCTCTCCTCCTTCGAATTGAGTGCACATTAGTTTTCTTCATTTCTATATTTTAAGTCCCTTTCCAGAGAGGAGGAACTTGGTAGCCTACTTTTGATATATTTATTTCTCTGTAACGAATGTCCTGGCCTTAGTCCCCCTCCCTCGGGCTCCGTCTGCTTGTGCTGGGCCACCTGTCCCGTGAGTTGTCCTTACCGTGACCAGGAGGGGCCACCCCTTCGTGCAGGTCCCCACCCAGCCCCGGGCTGGACTCCCCATGCCAGCTGTGCCTTCCTGATTAGCACGTGCCTGTCACCCTTTTCAGGTCCTGACACCTGCTCTGTCCACACAGCCTCCCCACCCGGGATTGTACAGTATAGTCTAGGACAGAATAGTATACGACAGCCTTCCCACCCACCTCGCTCTGCCGGCCTATGGCTTTAGACTGAATTATTCAAGAAGGGGAGGATGAAGAGGCAGGAGAGGTGGACGGGCTATTTCTGTTTTGTTTTCTTGTTTGAATTAGTTGTTGTAGCGCGTCTTTTCTGCAGCCTTTACTTTCCTTTGCACGTATTCCTTTCAGTTCCATGCAGATGGCTGTACATATTGGACATAGCTACTTTTGATGAGCAGGTCCCTTCACAGATGAATTTTAATTTGGGCTTAATGGGCAGAGAAGGGTAAAATGTTTTAGGCTATGTTTTCATGTTCCATTTAGAAAACAGGCCTGCCGTCGCTAGGAAACAACATTGTCCTACCGTGTTTCAGCCACAGCTGGGTAAGGGCTCTTTGCTACATATTCTTTCCTTTTGTTGCCCTCTCCCATTCCTGGCCGGCAGCTTCCCTTTCCACGAGGGTGACGGGTGCCTCCGCCCCTGGGGAGAGGGCTCTGGCCTGAGAGCGGACGCGTGGCCCAGAAGTCTCTGGCAGCGTCACCTGGAAGGGTGAGGATTGCAAGGAGCGTGGTCTTCGTTCCCCTGAGATTGCAGGTGCCGAGAGCTGTGCCAGTTCAGGACCCTGAGGTCACCTTCGCTGCCACAGGGGAGGTGGCTTGAGGACGAAGTCAGCACAGAGGACGGGGAGAGAAAAGGAGACTCCACCCGGTGGCGCAGTCACAGCCCCGAAGTCCTCAGGGGCAGAAGCCAGGGACCCTCTGGCCTTCTGGATACAAGGATTGATACTGTCTTCTCCATTAGGCTGGAATGAGTTGGTTTTCAGTTAGAGTGGGGTGAATTTATAGCGATAGTGAGGGCAAGAGAAACAGCCCTAAGATGGTTTGGTAACATGCATGTGGTATGTACACGCGCGCGCGCACACACTCACACACACGCACGCACATAAACACACACACACACACGCGCACACATACACTTTTCTTTTTTAGGTATAGAGATTTTTGCCTCAGATGGAGCCCTGAATGAACGTTCCGAGTACAGTACCCTAATTGGGCCCCGGATGGGAGTGCGCAGGCCGGACGCCATTGTCTTGCTCTCCTTTAGCCTCTCAGGGCTTTCTTGTGCACACCCGTGACGCCCCAAGGTCTGCAGGGTGAAGATCAAAGCAAAGCCTTCAAGTAATAAATGTGCAACCTGAAGGGCGTTTTCTCTACCGTAGGATCTAATTTTAAAGTTCCAAGTACCAAATACCCCACCAGACTTTATGGCACATTTGCAGAGTCTAAATGTCTCACCTAAGAGTAATCTCGGAGAACATCAATTAAGCTAGGCTGCATGTGACGGTACCTAGACGCAATCCTGGCTGGCGCAGAGAAGGCAGCGTGATGTCGTCCTCGACGGTGGAGGTGGCATCAGATCGGTGAGCGGATTCTCCAGCAGCGGCCCGGGCTCCTAGGGCTGCAGGATGGAGTTCAGTCTCCCTCCCCTCTGTTTCAGCGAACACAGCCGGGCACACCAAGGGATATCCCGACGACTGATCCCGCCGCCCATCTACAGCTGCTCTGGTCGTCGCAGCCTGAGGGGAATCTCCATGTCTGACACCAAGCGCAAGCATTTGTCTAATGCTGCCGGACACTGATTTGAGTATAAAACATACCACTTGGATCGGAACCTAAAAGAGATGGCGAACTCTCACAGACAGGTAAAGGGATTTGTTGGTGCTGGGAATCGGAGGTTTCATAACACCACAGTTCCAAAAATAAGAGCAGTACATTTCTTCTGTAAAGAGGGAAATTGCTTTACAGGAAGACCACTCTCTGTGCCCAGGGCGTTCGAACCAGGGCAGCCTGCAGGAAGCCAGTTTTCTCATTGAATCCTGGGAAACAGAATCAGAACTGAGTTAAAGAAAAGCCTTCCCTCCCTCCCTGTCCACCTCCCTCCCTGTCCACCTCCCTCCCATTTTGCCTCCCTTTCTTTCTTTTATAGGGGATTGAATACAGGGTCTTCAAGCTGAGCTATATCTCTAACCTTTTTAATTTTAAAATTTTGAAACAGGATCTTGCCGAATTGTTATGTTGCCCAGGCTGGGCTACACCATGTGATCCTCCTGCCTCAGCCTCCCAGAGTGCTGGGATGACAGGTGTGCGCCCCGATGCCTGGCCTTGGTTACTTCTTTGACCTTGTTTTCTCTCGTGCCTCCTTTTCCTTCTCTTTGTAGTGTGACTCCTGGCATACACGACTGGCTCAGGTTGCCTGTGGCCAGCTCACTCTGCCCTGCTATTTTCAGCCCTGTGGGGATGTAGTTTTGGATTAAAGTCACGTGTCTTGGCAGCACAAGTCACTCAGCTAATAAAGGCACAGCAGGCGCTGAAGTAACATCCAAATTAACCTTGTCTTAAGTGCAGATTTTCCAAGTGGATTGTAAATTCTTAACAGACTTGCTTTGGTGCAGGAAACATTTATTTCCTAGAACCACGCTTACTTCCTCCTAAAATGGTCTCAAATAGTTGGTTACATCATTAGAGGAAAATGCGGTTCATAGACATAAGTCAAAGCTGAGGCCAGAAGCCCAATTCCCACTAAGAAAACAAGTTGTATCAGCCAGTCAAGGTGACACAGGCCTGTAACTCCAGCATTGTGGGAGGCTGAGGCAGGAGGATCACAAGTTCTAGCCCAGCCTGGGTAACTTAGCAACATAGCAAGATCCTGCCTCCAAAAAAAAAAAAAAAAGG